GGGCGGGCGAGGAGGACCCGTGTGCGTCCGCTGGCAGGTCGCTTCGGGGTAAGGTAGAGGCTCAAATCTAGCCCCCTGATCACCCAATTGTTAACCCTCGAGATGAGAGAAGGGTTTATGGGGGGACGGACGTGTGTGAGAAAGCGCATTTCCGCTGCCTGGGACGGGAGGAGTGGCTGCCGGGGGACCACCAGGACTTGGCCGAAGGTTTTCGGGGGGAGAGGAAACCTTGTCCTCCGCCCTGCGGGCTCCCCCGCTGGAGGCTGCCCCGCGAGACCGCCGACCGGGGCTGAACGAGCCCCCGCAAGGCAGCGGCCCCGCCCCGGGAGTGAGGCCCCCCCGGCACGCAGCAAATCTGATTTCCGAATAAAGAAACAAACCGCTGGGTGTTTAGCCTTCCTTTGAGGAAGAAAGGAAGTCTTGCAGGAATAGTGAATGGTAAGTTAGAATGTCAAGAGGACAACTGTGTGCTTGTAAGCCCGGCAGCCTGTCTCGACGCTTCTCTTCTTCCCACAAATGGTACTTGGAGAGGCTTCTGCATTAATTAAAAATGATTATATGATGGGGGCAGAAAACCTGGATTATCAGGTGTGTCTTCAGCTGGTTCCAGAAATTAGCACAGTCGGTGCCAGCAGCACATTTGTTGTGGGGGAGGGGCAACAGGTACCAACACAGAAAAAGCCCCTTAGGCAGCCACCCATCTTATTTCAGCCAATATTAGCACAGGTACTAGGGCGGGGGGGGGTTGGGGTCGGGCGGCCCCACTGGGGTTTCTGAGGGGGGGGGGGAGGTCAACCACAACATGGCTGCCACAGGAGGCAGAGCCAACTGCCAGGGAGTGAGCGCCTGCATAAATCTAATAGTAACTTTTCAACATTTCGGGCAGAAGCTCTAATGAATAGGGTGCTGTTTAACATTAACATATTGCTTTAAAATTCTTTTCCTGCAACCCTGCCGCTGACCTTCAGCCGCACAGCGAAGCTCCTAGTGCAGTGGCGGCAGCTGCTGCCGAACCAATGTTTTAAAACCTGCACAACCAATCAGATCTCCAGTGGCCAGTCAGAAGCCCTACTGGGCAAAAACCTCATTGGTCCTGCCCACTTCCTCAAGAGCCTTGCTGGGTGCTAGGACAGTTGGTGGTGGGTACTGCAGTGCTCGTGGGCACTATTCCGGGGACCCCTGCGTGAGGGATTCAGACGACCCCCCCTGGACTTGGCTTAGAGGCACTTGGGTCCCACACTGGCTGGGGCTCTAACAGGGCAGAGTCTTAAGCAGAGTTATACCCTTCTAAGTCCACAGAAGTCAATGGGCTGAGAAGGGTGTTAACTCTGTTCAGGATGGCTCATTAAAAGTCATAACCAGCACTTTGAATTGAGCCTGGAAATAGATGAAGAGCCAGAGGTGGAAGATGTGCTGCCTTTTTTGAATTAGTGGAAGCTTCCGGTTGGTCTTCAAATATGGCCTTACACCCAATGCGTTGCAGCAGTCTATCCTGGGGAATGCAGTTTAATAACTGTCCCACCACTGATTCTTTAGAGGGTTCTCTCTCTCAGGCTATCAATGTGTGAGCAGCCAAGTGATTTTTAAAAACCCCAAACCTGTTGTAGTAGGAAAGGGTGTATGTGGATGGGGATTCAGAATTTTACTTTGTGATTTCTGGCAAATATCAATGGTAGCAACTCAATATAAGGTTTACTCCTAATACAAGATGGGCTTGTTAAACTGAAGAGTGATGAAGAAGCACTTGCGCAATGATGCTTTTGGACCCTGTGATTTAGAACTCACAGGCAGGGCTTCTGCACCTGCTTGGAGCATCAAAGGCTTTGTGTGGGTGTCTCCTTTGCCCCACCAGGATTTAATTAGCCTGTATTTAAAGGGCCAGATTACAGCTAGCTGTGAGTGGGTGGGTAGACTGGGACTGACACAACACGTCTGTTGCAGAGGGACCCATTCTGACCTGGTTTCAGAGTTTACAGTCCTCCCTTTAGTTCCCCAGCTCTGTCCAGAGAACCAGTGTAGTGGTTAGAGCACTGGATGAGGATCTGGGACACCTGGGCTCATGAAAGAGGAAGATTTATACCCGGGCCTTCACTATCCGAAGGAGTCTCGGAGTGCCTTGCAATTGCCTTCCCTTCCTTTCCCCACTACAGACACCCTGTGGCCAAGGTCACCCAGCTGGCTGCATGTGGAGGAGTGGGGAATCAAACCCAGTCCTCCAGATTTGAGTCTTTAACCACTACACCACAGCTGGTTCTCAGCATATGCTGCAGAGTTCCTTGGGAGGAAGGGTGAGATGATAATCTACTAAACAAGGTAATAATACATGGGCACCCTGCCATCAAGAGCTTTTGGAGCCTGTGAAATAACTCTGAGATCCATTGTAGATTCTTGAGTTTATTCAGCGCAGGCTGGCATAGGCTTGCTCCCAGCACTGCATCACTTGGGTTTCTGACCTCTTCTCCATTAAAATATAACTGGAGTCCTGACAAACCTAAAGCATAAGCTTTAATGAGTCAGAGCTCACATCATCAGATGTGTGGAGTGTTTGTCCTTTGGCAGATGCACTTACACTAAAAGCTGCAGACAACAGAAATGTGACAGGATGGGAGGAGATGTTACACATTTTGCTGCAATAAACGGTGTTAAGTCTTTAAGGTGCTGCTGGACTCCTGTTTTAGGTTGCTGCTATGGATCAACACAGCAACCCGTCTGGAATTGTCTTCTCCAGCAGACTCTCAAGTGCCAAGGTTAGAGGCGGTATTTTTGGATGGATTGGCAACCTCACTGCCTTTTGCTTCTAAGGCCTGTGGAGGAGTATGCTTTTTCGGGGCCAAGTTCTGCAATGGCAAGCATTATTTTGTTGGCAACCAGGCTGAACGATCAGTCCACTCACTTTTCTATAGCCTGCCCATATATGACTGTGTTAGTCCTTTGTGGCCCTGATTGGGAGAGGATAACTCATTTTGGATCAAGACTGGTCCATATCCTTATGTCAGGCTGGGCAGTAGTTCTTGCTGTAAGTGTCAACACTTACAGCAAGAACTACTGCCCAGCCTGACATAAGGATATGGAGTTTTTCCTGGCATGGAGGAAAAAAAGATGGGCAGACAAAGTTGTCCAAAGGCTTGGCTGTCTGAGCTGCTTTGTACAGTACCAAAAAAGGCCATATCCCTCCCGACACGCTAACTTCATGCTCGGGGGCTCTGCAGTCCCACCAGAGGGAGGACCATGATGGGGTGCCACAGCAACTGGGACTCTGCAGGTCTCAGGTCCTGTCAGGAATGTAGCTGATGGTGGGAGGGCCACGTGGAATGGCACCTGCCCCTGAAAATGGCACTGAGCAAAAGTGTGCTTTATTTGTTTGGAGGAAGACAGGGGCCGCATATTTGCACATTTTAACATTTACTTATTTATTTTCTTCATGGCATCCCCCCCCTTTCTCCGGGGGGGGGGGGGCAAAGCTGCTTACTTTGTTAGGCTGGTGGTGTGTAATGGGCCCAGGGTCACCCAGAAGGCTTCCATGGAAGAGCAGAGATTTGAACCTGGGCGTTCCAGAGCCTAATCTGACACTCTAACCACTATACCACACTGTCTCTCTTCTTGTCTAGTATGGTTCCAGATGACCAGGAAAAAATGCTCCTGTGTCTGTAAAAGTTGTGAAATTGGGCCCTGACTATTAGCTGAGCCTTTTCAAAGCTCAGTTGGATCCGCTGCTGATGTTACAGGTCCAAGATTGATACAAAAGTTGGCTATCCTCCTACACCTTGTGGCTGTGACTTTTATCTGTTTTCCTGGGATGTATTTTGGTTTAAGGAGAAGAATAAGAATACATAAGAATATATCTCTCACCCTCTCCGCACGGCACCCAACATCTTGTTTGATTAAGAAAATAGTCACAAGTGTGTTTATATCTCCCAAAGGTGAGGGGGTGGTCTCTCATCCCCCCCTTCTTTGTCTCTTGCCTGGGATCCCTTTTGAAATCTGGTCTGCCCTCCAAACCACCTGGTCTCCTTATGAAGCTCTGCACTTGTCCTTGGGCTAGCTGTCCCATCAGGCCCTGAAACAACCTTTCCTCTCTTTTCCTCCTCTTTTCACTGCACATTTAACCTGATGAAGGCTTCTGTGATACTCAAGAACTTGTTCACTGCTTTGTAACAATGCAGAACACCAAGGTGTTGGGATTAAAGCAAAACCAGATGTCGCTAAGGGACTAACCGGGCAATTCTACAGAGAGTCGCACCCTTGGTCTAGACACGAGTACATCAGCCGTCTAGATGTTCCGCTAGAGGGCGCTCAGTTCCCAGGCCTAAGACCCGCGCTTGCGGCTCACGACAGGTTGGAAACGGCGCAAACACATTTCAGGCAGAGCCCTTTCCCGGGGTTATGTTTAGTTCCCCGACGCGTATTTTTAACTTCTGTGGCGCAGATGGAAGGACTGGGCATTTTCGCCGCCTGTTGATCCAGCCGCCGGGCCAAGCTTTCTTTGGTCCTTAGAGAGCTCTTCCCCAAAGGGACGCAGCCTCCTCCCCGTCGAGGCGGCGGATTCACTCGATCTGAAAGCGGCTTTTCGGGCGCCTGTTGACAGCCGACCGAGCCGCACCTTGGCGAAGCGGGGAATGTGGGTGGCTGCCCCGCCGGGAGACGCCGCTTAGCAGCACAAGCCACGTTCTCTCCGGCCGCTCGTTCGGAAGGTGTCCAGAGGGCAGGCTGCCTCCCCGAGAGCCGCAGGTAAGGAGGCGTCTTTCCGACGCGGGGCGCGCTTCAGCGTGTGAAGGTGGGAAGCGTGTCACGTGTGGATGCGGGCAGTCGCGTGGCTCGGAAGGCTGGGAGCCCCGTGAGCTTTCCTCGGGGGTAGCCTTGACGTGTGCGTCACCGTCCGCTGACCGCCTCATCCCCGCGTGCGCCCCGGGCACAGAGGAGGCCGGCCCGGCCCCGGGGACCCTGACCTCCGCAGCGCCCAGCGAGCCCGGGGGAGTGGGGGGTCTGGCGGGGCGGGGCGCGGGCGGTGGGGTGGGACCGGCGGGAGCCCCCGCTCCGGGCTG